CGCCGGAAACTCGTCTTCCAAAATCGTTCAGGTGAGCTTTTTCCTCCAATAAATCTCTACAAGCGTTATCGATATATTATTGGTTGAAGTTTTTATGGTTAAAAACTGGACAATCTTGATGTTCGGCCGTTATGTGAAGAAATTGAAGCGCTTTTGAAATGCAATTTCACCCTAGAGTCGTTTCAATCTTTTTAAAAACGTGTGTGAAAAATCGTGGAGAAAGCTTTACCGATTGCCACAACTTGTAGAGGTGGTTTTACCTTTATGAGTAGTGGCCTAAATCCTCTGATGTTAAAAGTCAACTAAGGATTTTTGTGCTGAATGTTGGGTTTTGCTGGCTTTAGGAGAAACAAGGGGCTTAAAATTGCTTTTAATTACCTGAGAATTTTTAACCTCTGATGAGATCTGCAGAGTTACGTAATCACTCAGATTGATCTCTTTGGTTACTAAGGTAACAGCTTTTATCTGTCTCAGATATCATTAGAAAAATATGAAACATACGTCAAATTTTACAGGAATTTTGGCTGTGTAAATGTAACGAGGATTTTTTACTGACCGAACCATTCGTTAAAAACTGATTTTGTGGCTTTAGGCTCACTGAAAGATTCGTAACTTACTGAGCAACGCCTAGCTTAGGATTTGATGTTAGAAAGTCAGCCGATAGATACGATTTTAAATAAGAACTTAGTACTTGAAGCAACGAGCTCAAAATACTGGCAAGGAAAGCTTTTAGAACATCAAAGAAAATTGTCCTTCTTCGATTACTTCGATGAAACCATCCGGCTGCCGCATCATATTGTTATCCTTTTATTTGACACTGTTCAAAAAGACTGCTGTCAAACGGAAAATCACGCTTTGCAAAAGTTCTACGGCTCTTGTCTTCGTAGACGTTTTTGATTAAACACATGTAAGGCAGCGTTTTTCTGACAGACGGATTAGTTCCCACAAAACTGCTTACTTTAACTTAAGCTTGGAATGAACGCCATTTTTTACTAAAAAGCTGAGTGCACTTCAATTGCGATGCTTTCCAAGTGGACTTGAACTCAGGTGCACTTTAGGGTCTGGTGTGACCCACCTTTTGTTGTTTTTTCACCGTTCTTGTTACCTTCGCCGCTTAGCATTACACGATTTTATATTTTGTTTGAGCAAACTATAAATATTATATCGAGAGCTACGCTTTTAGCGCTGGCTAAATCTATATATCATCGCTTACGCTTTCGTTCCAGGTTTAAACCACTTCGTTCTTTCCATTCTCTTTATTCTTTTCTTTTCTTTATCTCTTCTTTTTTCTTTCGAATAGATCAAGGTGATTTAAAAATGTGATAATTTCAAACCGTTAACGAATGATGAGGGTTGTCGATATAACGTGTTAGGATCTTCTGTAAAAAGTCTAAAAGCAATCACAAATTTATAAACTAACAAGATTGTATTCGAAAGAAGGAAAGCTCACTCCGTCTAGGACACTACGTTTCCCAACAAGTGCAAATTCATTTCATTAATATTCGTGAAAAAAAGGCCTCGAATTTGCTTAATATATAGCTGTGGTTACTCTTAGTGTTGCCATTGAACACGAGGCGTTCAATTGAAGCTAAAGAAACTCGGACTACGAGATCACACTGCTTTTCCTTCACGCAGAAAGGCGACACGTCGATAAAGGAGGAAACCGATTCATGTAGCTTCATGCCCTCCTACTAGTACAAACTCAGCAGCGCAATCCATTATGAGCTAGTGAGTGGTAAAGGTAAGGATATTTTCTTGGTTTTAAAATCATAGCTGATTATCGTTTTTGACTTATATTACCCTTGTTTGCCTTCGACTAAACTTGACAGCCACACTCTTTGCAACTCAGATCCAGGCATGTATCTATTTATTTTTGAAAACAATGACAACTGCAAAATTTGCATTGATTAACAATGACAGAGCACGTGGTCAATATTGCGAAAATTTTGAAGGTAATAGCATGCATGCAAGGAAGCATGTTCTAAAGTTTGCGAGCAAATCGTGCCAAATTTTGTGAAAACCATTAAATAAATTCAAAGGCCGTTATCCTATCAACAAAGCCAGAGCTTATAATGCTGAGGTTAAAGACTTATTTAAAACAAATAGTCCCTTTTCGTAACTTATTCACATCGCGTTTGGTTATTTTCACTCGTTATTTTTGAGCCCAAAGATCTGTGTCTATTATTTATAGAAATAACCATATTGATTTGGTTGCTTTCAGTGACATCAACTCGACAATGAATAAACATCTTAGAATTAATGAGGCTGCCACTCCCATAGTCAATTATGTGGAGATGGTATGGTAGATACATTAATGGTTTTACCGGGTATTTGTTTTTAATTCTGGCCAAAAATCCTTATGATGAAATCATTCAAAGGTGTTTTATGCTGAGTATTGAATTTCGCTGACTATTACGTTTTGAAATAAGGGGTAATTAAAACTACTAGAATTGAAACTAGAATCAACAGAGTTGCGTAATCACTCACAGAATTACCTCATTTGACCATAAAAGTTTGTTTCTAGTACTTCAACTATCACAATTGAGAATGTATTGAACCAGGAGAGGATAGAATATGAAAAGGGGATCAAGGGTTTAAGATGACATTTCACAGAATTATTCGTCGTGCAAAAAGGCATCGGGATCTGAAATTTTTGTCGGAAAAAAAATCTCGTAAAGTTAAGCCAGATAAAAAATCTTCTCTGTCTGAATTGCTTACATGTTTTTCTTCTCAGACTTTATTTTCTTCGTTTCAGATCTGACTCAAAGTCTTCTCTTTTTAAAGCTTGAAAAAGACAGGGCTTCTTATCGCAACTGGCAGCTTAACTTAAATGAAAAACACTTTAAGTTGTTTTCGTCATTCATGGAGCATAAACTAAGTAAACTTTAAGATCTTTTAAATCTTATGTTAATACAGCTTTATCTAAAGGTTAATTTGTTGATAATTGTCAGGTAACGTATCGGCCATTGTTGATTAAGCAATGAACATTTAAGCATGAGACATATTTTAACACGCGGTTATCTTGAACTTTACACATAGAATTTCCATGCAGATTTTTTCAACGACTTCCCTCTCATTTCTCAAAAAGACTGTCCCTTGTTTTGGTAGTTTTTTTTCTCGCGCTAATGCTCCCAGAGGTTTTTCATCATAAACTCCTGGACGAAGGGAGAAACGCACTTCAAAGAAATTAATTTCAGAAAAGTAACGGCAAGTAAGACAGAAAAAAGAAGCCTGATTTCCTTGCGAGATAAACAAACCAATGCACTCCCCGGAAAACTCGCGCTCAATGGATATGGGAGGTTACTGATACATAGTAGAAGATTCACAGACCATTATTCATAAATAACAAAACAAAAGAGTCATGATTTTTCAAAACGTGATAAAATTAAAAAAAAACAAAATATAGGCCTTTAATTTTTCTGCTTAGTCATGATCACGGAATAGTAACTCTCATTTACGTTTGTAATTGTGAAACCTACGTAAACAATAATCAAACTTATCGAAGGCGTTCGAATTAATTTAGTTTGCTTAGTTTTTTTGGTTGCAATTTCATTTCTTGTTTGCCAAATTTCAAAATTCCAGGAAAGCTCAACCCTATTTTGATTGGGATTCTTTTAAGGTCCTTCCCCAAATAGCAGCAAATAGTGTTTTAAAAAAATAATAATAAGCAAAATAAACTCATTTGATTAACTGAGTATGGCGAATGTCCAAATAAAGAAAATTAGGGGATGAAATAACAATATGTTCAAGATAAATCATACTCTACAAAGATCGTAACCTTTTTTTTTCTTGTAAAGTTGATTTCAGTTCATTAAGTAACAGGCTCACTCAAAACTAGTGATGTAGGGGTTCAACCACTAAATGTAGCCATGTGATCTTAACATGACGTCATATTAATATGCTATTGCTTCATTTCACAATTACACTGTATTCTTTAAAATCGAGGGAGGATAGTGGCAAAATATTGACTTAAACGCGATGCAGAGAGGTAAATTTTATTAACGCCAAGATTCATCGAGATTGAAAATAATAATTGTTTTTAGTATAGTATGTACACACGAATTGATCTCAACGGAATCAGAAAGCTTAAGAAACCCATTAACAAGGATTAGTTTAATTAACGGTTCAATTCGTGTGAGAAAACATGTGCATGTAGCGGTAAATGGTGCATGCGCAGAAATTAGACCAGCTCTCCATTTGGGGGAGTCGCGAGAATTCTCAAGAGAGCCGCACGCGAAAGGAGACGCAAAGGCGAGGGGTGGGGAAACAGTTTCCCCACTTTTCATTTTGGGCAAACTCGCGAACAGTCCAAAATGGCAAACGCAACGAACGCGGTCAGATTTAGTATCGTCATATGTTTTCGTGTCGACCCCTTCTCAGCCTACTGGACTGATTTGCATCGAGAAAGGCAAAAGGCGATAACCGTTTTATATTAGCAAAACAACAACTTTGCACGTGCATCTCCCTTTTTTGTACATTTCTTAGCCGTCGTTGCAAGACTGCGATATGAATGTTTCTAATTTCACGCTCCCACTTTATGGAGTCACGGATAAACACAACACAATACTTCTTTGAGAGGGGGTAGAGCGAAGAGACCGATGACATTTCAGACTAACTACTTATATTGGATCTGCTCTACATCTAAGATCAAGGCAGACAATGTGAACAAGAAGAACCAAAATTACTGTGAATCTGGATTGTTAGTGCAGTTACAAACGAGAATTCCCTAGGTCGCCGGACAGAACACTTAAATTTAGTAATTAAAAAAGAGACGGTGAAAAAATTTTCAATGCTTTCACGTTACCTTTATTTCAGTGTGTAATTGGTTGCATTAATTGTGCTACATTTGCATTGAAGCAAATGGAAATGAGCTGCATTATATGTCTACAGCATCCGGAACTACTTCCTCAAATTAACAGCTTTTTTTTTTTTTTTTTTTTTTTTTTTTTTTTTTTTTTTCCAATGCTCGTGTTGAAATACAATGAGGGCCATTCTTTCTCTTAGTTGGTGCAAACAGCGCAAGTCAACTCTCGACCTGAAACATATGGATCACACGGCAAATTTCGTCCACATGTGCATTCGACAAAGTACATCATCAAGGCGCCATTCGTGTTTGCCTGGGTGCCAGGGATGAACTCCGGATCTCTATCAACACAGATGAATTCTTTTTGGTTTTTGTCTGTGTAGTGAGAAGTCATCAGATACCCATGATACTCCTCGGTACATCCAGATGGAAAGTCATTCCGAGTGGGCATCATCAGCATTGAGCCACGTGAGTCGACATAGCAGACGGCACAAGGTGCATTGTGGTCTTGGAGATTTTTGTGAAAAGGGTTAAACGACAGTTCGTACTCAGTGCCATATACCAATCCTCTGAACGCCGTCCTTGTACTGATCGTACTTTGGGGTCTTTGGAAGGCAAAGGTAGTTCGCTGCGCCTCCATTGTGGGTGTAAAACTCCCCAGCCGTGATTCCTAAGTGGAAATTAGAAATTAGACAAAAAACTGGACAAGACCATAACAGCTAACTCTGCTACAAAACCTCTTCACGTGGGAATTTGATATTTAAGAGCGGAAGAGAAATGTACAACTAGCGTGATGCACGTGAGAGTTGTTGTTTTGCTAAAATAAACCTATTTCTTTTTTGCCGTTCTCGCTGACGTCACCGTCGTTGTTGCATGAGCTCCCTATTAATTAAAGACGCAGCAATTATAGTACTTTTCACGATTAGTTAATTTACTGATTTATCGTTGGTTGCATTCGAGCCACTGCGCTGATTACTGACTATAAAGTGGAGGAAAGTGTCAACTGACTCTTTATCAGAATCTGTTATAAATTCTGACTGTGTCAAATTATTAAATACAAGTCCTAGTTACCAAACAGTAGTTCACCACTACGGAAAAACTTGTTGACGGCTAGTTGTGGCAGCTCAGGTTTGGTTTGCTTGTGATATTTTCAACTTCATGTAAGGGTAAAATTAATGGTAACCTAGGTATGTTCGAATAAATAATTTAGTCAATTAGATTAGAACAAGAGATTAAAACAATGGATACGGTGTGTAACAATTAGTAGATCAAGTAATCGTGAACCCTTACCACTGTACACCAAAGAAGCATCTCCAGAGCAGTTGGTTTTTCCCCAGCGAACGTATTTCACGCCAGACAGACCCTTTCCCTTCTCTCCTTTCGGTCCGCGGGGACCCTGAGGGCCAACATTTCCAGTATCACCAACTGGTCCTAAGGAACACGACATGTAATACTTGAGGGATTTTTTTCATACCATATCGTTGCTAGCAGGAGCCAAAGCGAATCACTTAACTTCGTCTGACTAGAATTTAACCCAAAATTAGAAGAGACAAAAGTCCTTAGTCAAACGAGATTGAAATGTCTGCAAAGTTAAATTTTGAGGATGCTGAAAATATCGTTGACTTCTAGCTTGAACTGGGCTGCCAGACAATTTTCTTCTCCCCAACTCCCCCTGGCTTCTCGAGATTTTTTATTGTCCAAAATTTTAGTCTGACGGCATCTAAACCAGGAGGAATTTCCAGACCCCGGGTTAGCTCTAGACAACAATAGATCACACCTTTTGGTCCCGAAACTCCTCGAGGTCCCTGAGGACCCTCTCTTCCGTCTCTACCGTCCCTTCCTGGAGGAAAAAACGTTTGAAAAGGGTTATTCAGCATTAAAATAAGCATAACTATCATCTTGAACTCAGTATTAAGAACGGCGGTAAAAAGTAAAGTAACAGCATCCGCAGGGGCTAACTCAAGTATGATTTCTTTTTTCCTGTGGTCTCTACCCCAAAGTCTCTATATTTATAATTGAGATACTTTTCGTTAAAGCCTCCTCTGATTGTCATGTTTGCTAATTTGTTGTCCCCAGATTTGTTTAGTTTGAGTTACTCTATGTTCCCAGATGCTGTATTATTCATGGTTATTGTTGTTGAATTGATATTTTCCTTTCATACTTGTTATCACGACACAGGCAGCTTTGAGGTCACAATGTTTTGTTATCTAATGAGGCTGAGCACACTTCGTTATAATCATTGCACAAATGGCAAAGTTCAACGTTCAATCAGTTGCAAAGTAAACTAACCGGCGGGGCCTGGTTTCCCAGGAGGACCGGGAGGTCCTGGTAATCCATCTCTACCATCTCGACCTGAAAATTTAAGCGGAACTGACTTTTGTTAACTATTATAAGACTTGAAGGGGAGCGGGGTACAAGTCCCACTCATGTATTTGTTGAGGAATGCAGTTTGAGACGCTTAATGCAGTTTGAGACGCTTTAACTGTTGAATTTCAAGCTTTGTTGTGTCATGATGGTTTTTGGTCCTAACTGTACCAATGTCGTCAATTTCAACTGTTTCTGCTCGACGAATCAACGAAGTACTAATACAGACAACTCCTATTGACTATATACGATACGACAGTACACAAAAGAAGGCAGAAAATTACAAAAATTTTAGTCAAGCCACGACAAGATATTCTCCGCAGACAAACCAATTACAGAATGGGATCCCTTTCCCTCGTTATAATAACCGTGAAGGATTTAGTGCTTATCAAATACAGATTTGTATAACAAAAATTTATGTACAATTAAGTTGGTTTCTTGTCATACTTTGACTTAATCTTAAACCGTATGGTAATACCGAGTCCTTCAGATACTATACTCCTGGTAATTACCAAACCTACCGGTTTGCAGTGCATATATAGTGTCCAGAAATTAATGTCAACCAACACTTTTGACACAGTCCTTCTTCCCATTCAACAATATTTCCTTATTTCCTATTTTCCCTACTTCAACCGATGATAGATAGTGATCACTCCCCAAATTTACTGCTGACCTCGTAATAAGGAACTGCATTTTTCGGCACCAGTTTTATCGTAGGCATCTAATCTGATGAAGTCAAACGCAAAAAAAGATGTGAATATGACTTTGTCAGCTATAGACTAAACACTTTACTGATTAATTCCTTTGATATGAACATTTCAGCTGTCATCGCTCCCCAAATTTATAAATTCTTTCAAGAAAATTTGTAGCGTGACTACTTGTTTTTTTGTTTTTATATTTGTTGAGATTTTGTCCGAAAATGTCTCAATTTTCTCAGTACACTAGCTTGAACTTCTAAGCCAGAAGCCAATGCAAAATTAATGACATGTTAATACTCTGATTGCTGTGTAGATATTGATCATGTACCTAGAATTAATTATTCCATTCGTAACTTAAAAGGGATGCTTAAGCTTCCGGAAAGTAAAGCAATACAAATCTCTAGCATCAGATTATAATTTACCTCATTTCCAACATTCTCAATCGCTCCATCAGATCTTTCATATTGGTACCATTAGTGTCCATTTGTTGTTGTACGGCCCTTTATTCGCGCATGACTTTGTTTTCAGCGGGACTTGTTTTCACAATGCCTGTTAGTACCAAGAGTATCGCGAAGGCTAAAGAAGCATGATCCAAACACATGTTCTTGAACGGCTTTTCATAGGACGTTTTCGTTTCATCCCCCATTTTTCGAGACTATAACGAGGTATCTGACCTGTGTAAAGTGCCCATCAAGTTAAACATAACTATGGAATTTTACCGATATTCTTGTAAAATTGTTAAAAAACAGTTAGTAATTTTTCAAATGATGTAAAATCTTGAATATACTGAATGCGGAGTCATTAAGTCAGCATCAAGGGCCATTATGGCTCTTGGTCTGCATCTAAGATTGAGAGGTATTATCATCTCGAGATTTCCAAATTACACGTCGCCAGTCTAATTTCATATTTTCAGCCAGAGCGTAAAGCTAACTGGTTAATCTCAAGATGTAAAAAAAAAACGTTTTGAAATGATTCAATCTTTTTTTGCATTTTGTAGGATTTGCTCAAGTAACTGAATTTTTTATTATTACATACCGTGCATACAACATGGCCGTCAGAACAAAAATTTAAAAGTTTCCAGAAACGTGTATATTTGTTTTTTCGAGAAAGTTACTGAAATGTTGATATCTTAAACTGAAAGTAGATAATAATAACAAAACATAAATTATAGCCTTTTTATTCACGATTGGTGCATGTCACTTGAAGATAGTTGTCTCGGAACATAGCAATTAATATTCACCGCTTTCTCTGAAATCAAAGATTAGACCGTCTTAGTACTTACCCTAAGAGGCAATGATGGGGATTTTGAGACGGTGGCCAAAATCCTATGATGCGACAAGTCGACTGAATTTTGGGTTTTTCTGAAAGCAAAGGGTAAACTACTTCATCTGACGAGAACTACAAAGTTACATAATCACTCAGATTGATCTGTCCCCAGCCCTTTTCTTTTTTGAAACAGATCAGTGTACCTATTTCATCTATTATCAGTGATGATATAAGTGAAAAAATACAGAAAGGAATTGTGGCTTTGCAAACTTAACGGTTTAAGCTGAACGAATCATTCGATAAAAGAAACTGATTTTATTTTATTTATTTATTTATTTTTTTTCATTGACAAAAAAAAAAATTAATTACAAATACTTGTTGTTTTAACTATGAAAAATAATATATATATATATATATATGGCAAAAAACAAACTGAATTTGTAAAGGAAAAAACAAACAAACAAACAAACAAACTAAATTAAAAGGAAAAAGACGCAAACCTGATAAGTGAAACAGTATAGCAGTAAAGTGTAGCTTGAAGGAAATGACACTAGCATTCACGAATCTAAAGAAGTTTGTCCCATGTTTTTTTGAACTGCGATAAGCGGTTAGATCTAGAAGCTATGGTGCGAAGAATATCAATTTTGTTGTTGAGACGCAGTAGAAAACTGTCAAAGTCCAGGACGCCGTTGCGTACGCTTGTAGCAAAAACATTATATTTGGCGAGAATCAAACAGTAATTAAGCACTTCCCAGTTATTTGACTCTTTGTGCCAACCATATAGAATAGTGCTTTCAGATAAAGTCAGTTTGTGATTAAATTTTTCGTGCCACCAGTTAGAAAAAAAAGTCCAAAACGAAGAGGATACACTACAGGTAATTAACATATGTTTTTTTGATTGATTTTATTGCTATACTGATACACAGAATGGTTCTTTGTCATCAAAGTCAAGGATGGATTTTTTTTCGCGAATAATAAAGCAAATATCGTGAAGTTTAAATGCTTAATCTAGGTGGACAATCGTGTCTGTCTGAATCGCTTACCTGATGGTCTCTTCCTGGAAAACGAAGAAAAATTAGGTCTCACGTCTTCTCCGTTCAGCTTTTGAAACTGAAAAAAACCACGAGGCTTCTAATTATCCGGCAGCTACACTTGAAAAACACCTCAAGTTGTTTTCGTCATTCATCGAGCATAAAGTAAGTTATTTTAGAGACCAATTATAATTAAGACCTTTTGAATCTTGTGTTAATACAGCTTTATCCAAAGAGTTGATTTGTTTGGCATAGTTACGTAACGAATTGGCTTTGATTAAACAAGGAATCTTGAGCATGAGTAATCAGTTTTAACAGCCGATTATCTTAAACTTTACACCGTCCTGATAAAATTTGTTGCATTGAAAGTTTTATTAGGACCTCGACCCATCCCTCCTTCCCGTTTTTTTTTTTTTTTTTTTTTTTTGTTGTTTTTCGGCAATTGGTTCTCGCCTTCGCTCCGAGGAGAGTTTCACCAGGAACTCCTGGAGGGAAGGAGAAACAATAGTTTTCTTGTTGGGAAAAGTGAAGGTAAGTAAGAGCGAAAAAAGAATAGAAGCCTTAGCTCCATGCAGTGTTTACTAACCCATGTACTCCCGGGAAAACTAGCGCTATGGCAGTTCACTGATACACAGTCACGAACCGTCATTCATAATAGCAGAAAAGTAAAATTGAAACAAAGAAGAAAAAAGGGTCGTTATCAAAAAATAAAAATAAAATAAAAATAAAAATATATATTGGCCTATTTTTTTATGCTTAGTCATCCAGAAACGCAACTCTTGTAAATAAACACAAAGCGTATCAAAGGCGTCTAAATTAATTTACCTAGATCAGTTTTTTTTTTGTTATTTTCTTTATTTTTTGGTTTGTGAAAATTACAGCAAAATTTCAGAAGACGCAACCCTATTCAAACTAGGGGCAAATTTGACAGAGGCCCTACCTAAACAGAACC